TCATTGCATTGTTGACTGAATATATGAAGTGCAACCTTACCTTATTTTTTGGTTTGACTTTCAGGACACTGAACAAGACTAAGTAAAAGAATGTCTGTTTAAGTTTCAGTTTCAGCTTTGTTGACTGCATGAAAGCAAATTGTTAGAAGGAACTGCATCTGGGGGAAAGGCAGGATGGGGGTATGATTTGCATGATGGTTGACGGGCCGTTAAGGCTGGGGAGTCCCCATAAGTTTGGGGAACCCCACTGCTTTGTTTTATTTTGGTTTTGCATGGAGAAGTCAAACCCTTCTATAAGTTTAGGGGGTTTGGTTATTCTGAAGGCTGGGATGTCCCCATAAGTTTGGGGAGACCCAGTGATATGGTTTGCATGGAGAGTCAGGCTGTTCTGTAAGTTCAGGTGGCCTGATTGCTCTGACTTGTGAGGGGTTTGACTATGCTTGATTTTCAAGGACTCAGGGCGCTCAATAAGCTTTGGTGCCTTGGGTTGCTTTGTTTTCATTGAGATTTTACTTGTTTTCTTTGGTTTCTGAACGAGGAGACCGAGATGTTCTGTAAGTTCAGGTGTCTCGGTCTCTTCCTGCTCTTTATTTTGAAGAATTAATCTTGGCAAAGAGGCAGACCCTTCTGTAAGTTCAGGGGGGTTGACTCGATGCCACACACATAATGACTCAGACAGAAACGAATCTGACAGAGAGTTAAGACCCTTCTGTAAGTTCAGGGGGTCCGGCTCAAAGCCTCGCACATGTTGGAACCCAATGATTATAACTTGGCTGTACTTCATTACTACTCTATCTAAGAACGAGTTAATCAGACTGTTCTATAAGCTTAGGTGGTCTGACTATAGTCGTATCACAACTTGAAGAAAGTACAAGTAAGAATAAAATTAATGGTAAACTGGGGCAGGTTGAACTTAAGTTAGTTCAGTCATATGCAACCTTAGAAGACAAAGGTAAATATAAGTACATATAACTTGGATACTTTAAACAGTCCAGGGCGACTAGAATGGTTTAGTCATGTGCCCAAAGAAGAGAAAAGTAGTTGTGCCCTCTGTTTGTGCATATTTGGCCAAGTCAGAACGCTCTATAAGTTTAGGTATTCTGACTCTAGGCCTGGCTAAGTTGAGTTGTTCTGTAAGTTCAGGCGGTCTAACCTATGCCTAATGTAAGCCGGGTATAAAAGGTTAAATCATTGAGAGATCATGAACTATTGTTTGTTCAGGTTGACTTTGGGATGATGAGAATACTTATGTTTGTGGTTTGACCTGCATGTGACTGAGTGAGGCTACTACTTAGTCTGAGTTTCAGTTTGATAGGTAGTTGCTTTAGTCGCTCGCCACGTGCTAGAGTCATAGGAGTTAGTTTTAATTCCTGCATTTTTTACTTAGATCTATTATCGCATTTTCTGGGATCTTTTGTTATACTTGGCCTTGTATAAATCTTGGCAAGCTACTTTCTCTACGGGAAGCGCTGCCGAAATTTCTACAAATCCAAAGAGTTAGTCCAAACTTGACTTGTCTTTCTGACTTAGTAAAAATATGGGAAGCCTCCTTTTCTAAAGGGAGTGCTGCCAAAATTTTTGCTAATTCAGGGAGTTAGTCAAAAGTTTGGTTTATCAAAGTCTGACTTGTCTTTTCATTATATCTGACTTAGTGAAAACCCGAAAAACCTCCATTTCTAAAGAGAGTGCTGCCCAAATTTTTACTAATTCAAGGAGTTAGTCAAATTTCTGACTTCTCAAAGTTCAACTTGTCTAGATTTCATATATGGCTTAGTAAAATTCTAGGAAGTCTCCTTTTCTAAAGGGAGTGATGCCCAAATTTTTGCTAAGCAAGGGAGTTAAACAAAATTGGACTTTGGAGAGTCAAGGGTTATTTCTGATTTCATATTTGGGTTTATATAAATTCTGAGAGGGCATTTTTCTTACGGGAAGCGCTGCCGAAATTTTCCTGTTTTCAGAGGAGTTAGATTATTTTCGACAGGTGGCGCTAGAGAGTATTATAAGGAGGTGTGCTATGGAGGTTTATCCCCCATATGCTGATGATTTAGCCTGGGCACTTGACCTATCTTGTGTTACAGGTCCTTTGGGTTGTCTTATTCAAGGTCAAGACTAGATTCAGCTTGATTCCTTGAGGATCATTATCTGTTATCACTGATAACAGGTCGGTTGCCGATCCATCGGTTTACGACTCAATTCCAACTCACCGTCCACACTCAACCTAAAAGGCTTTAGCCCTAGTGATTTTTTATTGTTTCATTAAGGTTTCACCCGGACTTTTATCGAATGACCATTTAATAAAGGTACTGAGTATTTAATTAAGGTGTGGTTGGACAGGAGGTTGGGGCTTGCATGGTTAAGGCGAGGGGTATGAGTGTTGAAGATGGTTGGGGTTGACTCCGTGTAATACGTGGGCTATTGATTGACTCGTTAATGTGATTCACAGATATGTGCTATGAATCAAATTCTGGATATGATTGTCTGCGATCACATATATACGTATGGTTGTGAGGAACCCCAATGAGACTGTGAGAAGTGATCGTCACATACTTCCCCTTTTTTTATTATATATATGTATATATATGGGTATACTTGGGATGAATACTTGCATTGGCTGAAGGGCCCCGTACTAAAAGCCTGCTCAGGGGTTAAGACTGAGAGACCCAGGGATGACCTCTCCGTTTATTTTTGCTTTGCTTCTTGAGAATTTTCTTAGTCGGACATTGGTCCTGGGCCGGGATTCGAGGTCCTTGTCCAGGACTTCCCAAGCCCTAGGCTCTGCAGGGGAGGGATTTTCTCTCGCGCAGAGCCTATTTGCCTTGCCTACCGAGACGCTCAGACCAAAGGCCGGAGGTCTCGCGGCGGCTGCACGGCTATTCCTTCAGCCAWGCAATGTCGTGAAGGATTAGACCCTCACGACACTTCGAGTCTAACACTTGAGTGTCATAAGCGGTACTCGGATCCACGAGGGACCGCTTGATTATGGGCACTACATAGTACGCCATCATTAAGATTGCTTGCGTACGCCTACATTACGAGTCGATATGAGTAGGCCCTGCGCCCACGCGGTTTTATACTATATCTCGCGCGCGACGCCTATTTGTTTTCCGCACCGGAAAATTATGGGTTGGCTACCGAGGGGCTAGGAGCGTTGTCGCGTTGTTTATGTTGGTTTGTTTTGTGTGTGTGTGTTTTATTTTTTTGTGTTTATAGAGTGGTGTGCGCGTGGTGTGTGTGATGCGTCCTAGTCGATCGGCGACGAGTCGTGCTTGGGACCTCAGCCCCCCAAGATGGCGGTTCGCGTGCGGGTCCGATAGGGGCGTATTACCGCGCGTACCCCCCTATGCTACAGCGAACGAGAAACGCCCCCGGCTGGTCCACCTCTGCGATTGCAGCTGATTAGCTTTCGTACTGTGGACTGGTAGCTCGGCGGGGATACGCCCACCGGAGGGAGGTAACAACTCCCGTAACGTGGAGGTAAGTCGTGCCTCGCGTAGGCCCTATCCTGTCGTAGGGGCTCGCGAGACGTATGGCTGGCACACTCGGCCGGAGCGGCTTGCAGAAGCTCCATGTATATTCGCGACGAAGGATATAAACCAACTCCTGCGTGACACGGCCGGGAGGGTCCCGCGCTGCCCTGGTGCGGTGCCGGACCGATGCGCCCGACAGCGGCACTTGCTGGAAACTGGGTCCAGCCTCCCATGAATATCGTTAATAGAGCACCAGCCAGCCCCCCCCCCCCCCCCCCCACTCTCTTTCTCTCTCTCTCTTACACACACACACACATTCTGTTGTCTATTGGTGGGGAGCGGCACCTGCCAGAAACTGGGTCCAGCATCCTATGAACATTAGCACCAGCCGGACCCCCGGCACAGCACTTTTCGAGTTGTGTACAGAGAATATAGCAAAACATATGCACACCATAATCACTACCTCACCATTCCCCAACAGCATCAACAAACGAACTACGGGCTGTGCACCAGTGCCCGCACGGTAAGTCAATAAGGTCCCGTCCCTGCAAAACCTCTGGAATGTCAGGGCGCTCGGGGGTCTGGTCCCACCTACGCCCGTTGAGTTGAGAAACCTCAACGGTGTGACACCATTTACCGCATTTTTTAAATCCGAAAAATGCATTTCAGATTTATTCGTAGCAGTTTTTATTCATTTTAAGAAAATGATGCCAAAATAGTGGTTTCTGTCGAGGATTCTGCGTATCTTGAAGTTCCATATGGGCCTCGCTGCACTACTCTTGAAATGTGCAAAACGAGAGTGAATCTTCCCCTAGAATATGGAAAGATGCACTGCCATGATTTTTGTCTTTTGTGCATGTCCAGAGTAGTGCAGCGAGGCCCCAGGATGTGGAAACACGAGGACTTCGAAGTGGGTCCAAAGAGCAATGAATATAGGCAAGAACACGGAAACCTACCTCGACTTTCTTTTTTCTTTTGTTTGTGCATGTGGTGAGCAACGGAGCAAGGCCTTATAGAGCCCACGCACGACAGTTACGGATTTCATTGCACTGACGAAGTGCCTGACACAGTATACGAGAAACGGGGAACAGCAGACGGCGACTAAAAATCCCAAAAATCGCAAAATTTCTCATCGACCATGTTGAGAAACCTACCCTCGACCGTGGAGGGTAGCTTTCTCAACTCCGTGGCGCTTGCCCATGCCGCCTTCCCTCCATTGCGGGAGTCCATTCGAAGTCCTTATACAAAAAAAAAAATCATTCAAATCACCCGGTAGGACATCAACATTTCGAAATACTTCCAACCTTAAAAAAAAAAAAACAAAAAAAAAACCCTTCCAACCGTGGGATCGCAGCCCTGTCGACGGCCACATCCTGTCGAACGTTGTCGCTCGTCGTAGAAAACTCCGCGTTGAGTTTTCTCAACAACACAGGTGGGACCAGACCCCGGGGCATCCGCCCCAATTGTTCGCCTGGGGCCAGAGGGCCTTGCCAAAAAATGGGCCAGACCCGGTTTCGCAGATATTGGGTTGTTGGCGGTCAGTGGCGGACGCCCTCTACCGCCGAGGCCCCGACAGGAGGGCCTCCAAAAGTTAAAACAGGAGGACCGATTGAGGCCGTTAGATCTTGAGGATCTACGGCCCCGATCTCTCCGCCGCGCGCGACGACGGTGTCGGCGTTCAACCTCGACGCTCACAGAACGTGGACAGGGGTTCTGCGCGTCGCCGAGCAGCCATCGCCTCCGGTCTTCCACGTAGGTCTGCTCCTCCTCCTCTCCCTCTACGTTTTCGTCACCTCCTCGGCATCTTCCTCTTTTTCTTCTTCCTCTTCCTACTCCTCTTCTTCTTCCTTCTCCTCCTCTTTGTCCTGCTCCTCCTCCTCCTTAGGCTCCTCCTCCTCCTCCTCCTCCTCCTCCTCCTCCTCCTCCCTTTCCTCTTCGTCTTCGTCATGGTCCTCCTCCTCCTCCTCCTTCTCTTCCTTTTCCTTATCCTGTTCGTCTTCCTCGTTATTCTGCTCCTCCTCCTCCTCTTCCTCTTCTTCCTCTTCGTCTTCCTCATCCTCCTTCTCCTCCTCTTTTATCGAGACAGAGAAGATTGGCATGGCCTCCGTGCAAGGATAAAAAAAAAAACCAAAAAATACTAAGTCGTGTGCACGTCCCCTTCCGTTCGCCATCAACTCCCGCTCCCCTGCGCGACCTCCCCGACCCCCCCCCTCGCAACAACATTCCCCTCGTCCTCCTCAACTTCTTCCTACTCCTCCCCCTCCTCCTCTTCTTCTTCCTGCTCATCCTCCTCCTCCTCCTCCTGATCCTGCTTGTCCTCCTTATAGACTTATCCTCCTCCTTCTACTCCCCCTCCTCCTCTTCTTTCGTTTCGTTTTCGTCATCCTCCTCTTCCTCCTCCTCCTCTTCTTCTTCCTCCTCCTCCTCCTCCTCCACCTCCTGCTCCTCGTCGTCGTCCTCCTCCTCCTCCTCTTCCTCTTCGTCTTCGTCATTCTGATACTCCTCCTCACCTTCCTCTTTTCTTCTTCCTCCTCTTCTTCTTCTTCCTCCGCCTCCTCCTCCTCCTCTTCTTCCTCCTCCCGCTCCTCCTCTTCTGCCTTCTCCCCTTTCTCCTCGCCCTACTTCGCTTTCATCCACACAGAGAAGATTAGTATGGCAGCTGCGCAAGGATGAAAGAAAAAAAAGAATGGCCGCCGCGCACCGTCCCTCCTCTTCGCCATAGGACTCGCCCTCCCCTTCGCGACCTCCGCTCTCCCGTCGCCACACCTCCCCTCCCCTTCGACATCGCCCTCACCCGTCCTGCGCGGCCTTTCCCCGCCTCCCCCTATCGTGAGCACCTCGTCCTTCGCCTTCTCCTCCTCCTCCTCCTCCTCCTCTTCCTCGTCTTCTTTTTCCTTCTCCTTCTCCTCTTCTTCCTTCTCGTCGTCCTGCTCCTCCTGCTCGTCGTCCTCCTCCTCCTGACCTCCTCCTTGTCCTGCTCGTCGTCCTCCTCCTCTGATATCGAGACAGAGAAGATAAACATGGCCGCTGCGCAAGGAAAAAGAAACCAAAAAATAATCCGCCGCGGAGCTTCCCTGCCCTTCGCCATTGACTCCTCCTCCCCTTCGCGACCTCCCCGGCACCCCAATCGCGGCACTATTCCCTTCGATAACGCCACACCTCCCTCCCGTTCGATATCCTCCGCCGCCGCCTCCTACTCCTTATCGGAGATCCTCCTCCTCCTCCTCTTCTTCCTCCTCGTCTCCTCTTCTTTTTTCTGGTTCTCCTCCTCCTGTTTCTCCTACTCCACCTCCTCCTCCTTCCCCTACGCCTTATCCTGCTCGTCTCCTCCTCCTCCTCTTCCTCTTCGTCTTCGTCATTCTCCTTCTCCTCCTCCTCTTTTATTCTTCCTCGTCCTCCTCGTCCTCCTGTTCTTCTTCCTTCTCCTCGTCCTCCTCCTCCTTCTCCTCCTCTTCTTCTTCCTTCTCCCCTTCCTCGTCGTCGTCCTCCTCTTCTATAGACACAGAGAAGATTATCATGGCCGTTGTGCAAGGATGAAAGAAAAAAAGAAGGCCGCCGTGTCCTCCTCTTCTTCTTCCTTCTCTCCCTTCCTCGTCCTCCTTCTCTTCCATAGACACAGAGAATATTATCATGGCCGTTGCGCAAGGATGAAAGAAAAAAAGAAGGCCGCCGTGCACCTCCCTCCCCTTCGCCATAGACTCGTCCTTCCCTGTGCAACTTCCGCTCCCACATGGCGACACCTCCCCTCCGCTTCGACATCGCCATCACCCCAGCCTTGGGCGACCTTCCCCCACTTTTCCCCTACCGTGAGCACCTCGTCGTCCTCCTCCCCCTCCTCATCTTCCTCTTCTGCTTTTTCCTTCTCCTTCTTCTCCTCCTCTCCTACTTCTTCTTCCTTCTCCTCCCCATCCTCCTCCTGCTCTTACTTCGTCCGCCTCCTCTCGCCCTTCCTCTGCCGACCTCCTCCTCCTCCTCCTCCTCCACCTCGTCGTCTACCTCCTCCGTCTCCTCTCGCCCTCCTCCCGCCACATCCTCCCCTCCTGCCGCCCTACTCCGTCACACCTCCTCCCGCCCACCTCCACCTTCTCCAGCCTCCTCCTGCCACCTCCTCCACGTCCTCCTCCTCCTCACGTCCTCCTCCTCCTCCCGCCCTCCTCTCGCCCGCCTCCCGCGACCTCCTCCATCCACCTCCTCCATCCACCTCCTCCATCCACCTCGAGCTGCCACTGCAGCAGCACGTGCAGCATCACCTGATGCAGCTGCTGCAGCAGCACATGTTGCAGATGCCGGAGCTGCTGCTTCAGCAACACCTCCTGCAGTTGCAGCATCTGGTCCAGCAGCACATGCTGCAGATGCCGGAGCAGGCCGTGCTGCAGCTAGTGCGGCAGCTGGTGCAGCATTTGCTGCAGAGCATGCTGCGGCTGGTGCAGCATTTGCTGCAGGGCCTGCTGCAGCGGCTGGTATAGCTGGTAAACCGTAATTTTTAATATTTTTTATTTCCAAATCTCCAACCCCCCTCAGAATTTTTCTTGGGGGTCCCACCATCGGGCGGAGCAAGTGCCGCATTTCAGGGGACACGTGGCACCGCCAGATTTGCCGAAAATTGAATGTACGGGACACGGGGCACCGCCAGATTTGCTGAAAATTGAATGTACGGGATCCTGAAGACTTGGACCCCAGGACGTCTGGCCAGTCTTGAGGCTGACACAACGTGGTGGAATTGAAGTGGTACGACGTCCAAAGCAGGTGCCTTGTGTAAAGGGGGTCAGGACCGACAGGTACACGTGCCACTTCACTTCCACCACGTTATGTCAGCCTCAAGACTGGCCAATTGTTCAACGGACAAAACTGTAGGTCGTCAATTTCGACGGCTTCATGAGTATTTGTGAGCAATTGACATTGTAAAGTGCACTTGTGATGCATTTCGACCCTTGCCGCCCCTTCTTCTCCCTTGCCTCTCCATATTCTGTCCCGCGTGTCGCAAAACCATCATATCTTTTTCTTTCCTAATTTGAAGTATTTCTCGGATTTGTGTTTTTTGTCATCGTTACGCGAGGCCCATAAAATCTTCTATGTATCCAAAAAAAAAAAAAAAAAAAGAAAGGAAAAGAAAGGAAAAGAAAAACATACACTTTTACGGGTTTTTTTTTTTTTTCCAACATAAAACTCTGCCATATGACTCCAAATCATTCAATTGAGGCCCGGGGACCTCACAATTGGACCCGGAGTTATCCTGGCAGCATCAGCCGGTTTTGCTTATAGTTATCCTTGTGTTCAAGTATCAACTCACCTGACACAGAAATTCCAGAACTGATTTGTCTGATAGTTCTCCAGCCGAGCCCTGCTCTGCGTCCACTGAATCTATGATGCCATTTACTTATCTATTCCACCCTACATAGGAGTCCACGGGTCGCCTAGCTGCTCTTACTACGATTATACAGGCCTACCACGGCCTGACACGGGCCTGGGCGACTGATTGGACCTTTTCCCGGGGGAACCTGACACTCTACCATCCTCCGCCAGGGTGGTCTACTGTGACCTGAGTCTTGAACCGAGTGTCCTGGTTCTGAGACTAGCCTATCCTAATCCTACTTTAACTGCTGTCCCTGCCTTAAGCGATTCCTTCACCTCTGACCCTCAGAGGGGGTGCCTCCAAAACCCATTTTGACAGCACCAACCCTTTCCTTGAATGCACCGCAGCCAGTTGGTGATTGTTTGCCCAAGTTCAGAGGAACCAATGCAGCTGGCGACGACTTCCGTTGCTGGATTTCGCCCTGCTCCTCCAGTCTGTCCGGATAGCTTGCTTCAGTCCTTGCTTGATCAAGTGCTTAACCTCCAAGTCCGAGAAAGGGCGCCTTTGGAACCTCGACCTGTTTCTGTCTGACCAGATAGTCTCACAGATCAGGCCTCTTACTACATGTGCGATGTAGATCAAGTGCTTAACCTCCA